TTATCATAGACATTGTTTTTAATGTACAGTACTGTACAGTAATGTAGAGTACTAGGTCATAATAATTATCGAATTTAGTTTAATATATTATTAGACTTTATCATTGGTAATGATAAATGTTATTATTATATTAAATTTTAATTATTAAACAAAAACTTCATTAAATGATAATATATTCGTAAATTATTCATTAAGTATTGTTTAGGTAATTAGATTTCAATTAACAAAAATAATATTCGCACATGTACCTTGAAGCACATAATATTCAAAAATATATTAGTGAAAACTACTGGCCATGTCCATTTAGCCCCCAAAATTACGCCCCCAATTTTTCATATGAAATTTTCATCAAAATTACACAGAATCTGCCCCCAGTTTTGACAGTATATTCTGCCCCCAGTTTTTACCACATATTCTGCCCCAAATTTTGACAGCTTATTCTGCCCCCAGTTTTTCATTGTATTTTATTTGTGTTTCATTTGTTATTTATTTAAATATTATGATTATTACTAAATAGAATAATTTAATCAAAATTATAAATTTTATTTAATAAATATAAATTTGCTTTGCTATATTGCATTACTATTCAAATTTAAATTATATCTTATTATTTTAAATTTACAAATTACTAATACACATAACAATGCTAATGAAACTTTAACTTACTATTATATTTACTAAATATAATTTATAATACACTATTTTTGTCTCTAAAATGTTTTAAGGAAAAATATGACTATTATATGACAACCACATATTCTGCCCCAAATTTTGACAGCTTATTCTGCCCCCAGTTTTTCATTGTATTTTGTATTTCATTTGTTATTTATTTAAATATTATAATTATTACTAAATAGAATAATTTAATCAAAATTATAAATTTTATTTAATAAATATAAATTTGCTTTGCTATATTGCATTACTATTCAAATTTAAATTATATCTTATTATTTTAAATTTACAAATTACCAATATAAGATAATAAATATTATATTTCAAAATTAAATAAATTTAACTAATAAAAATTAATTAGTAAATTAAAAAGCACGGTTATAATAAATTGGGGGCAGTACATGCTGTTAAAACTGGGGGCAGAATATGTGGTCAAAACTGGTGCAGAATATGTGGTCAAAACTGGGGGCAGAATATACTGTCAAAACTGGGGGCAGAATATGTGGTCAAAACTGGGGGCAGAATATACTGTCAAAACTGGGGGCAGATTCTGTGTAATTTTGATGAAAATTTCATATGAAAAATNCATTAGTATGACCTGAAGGGGGAGTTTGGCTTTGAATGTCCGGTGACACCATAGTCTATGAGCTCCACACTGGTGTCAATAGTGTATAAAAATAAATTAAATGTTTAATATATTAGCGAATAGTATTGAATACCTGAATACCAAACGATGAAAAGAAAGCAATAAAATTGAAGAATATAATTGTCTTAAACTGAACCACAGTTATGGCTAAATAAAAGCCATACAGAGCTGACAAATGCAATATAGCCATCAGTATTATGTTACGCCATACCAGCTCTAGTTTATACGGGGTCTTTACATGATGAACCTGCTCAGTTTCACATATTGCCTCGTTCACTTTGGTTTCAGTCATTTCTAAAAATATATAAATTCAAAGACTTTTTCTAAAACTTTGAAAGGGGAATACAAATATGAATAGCAAATTATTACTTTATTATTTCTAATGATCTTTTCAATAATCTTGGTTTATGTGAACAATTTTCAAACACATTTTATGCCTTTTTATATTAAGCTTAAAGAATTTAGACTGAATATTAAATAGCTTAATTGCATATTTAAAATTTTTGTTTGATAGATATATCAAAGTAAATAATTAATGCATTCATTGTTTGTTAAACAGGATTTTGCTTTATTTACATAAAATAATCCAGTCCAAATGACCATAAAGGTAAATTATTTTGTTGAGAGATATACTAGATAAAACAAATTAGCATTGACGCTCTTTCTACAATTATTATAATTAGTTTATTGTATTAAGTAAATGTGTCTGATTAATAAGTTATATTATAATCTAATTTTATGTTAATTTTAAATTTAGAATTTATAATTTGTTTTAAATTAAAAATATTGTAAGAAAATTATAAATTATAATTAAAGATTAACAAAAAAAATCTATGCTAAAACTTTTTAAAATTTTATCCTAAATTTATATAACTTTCTGTTTGCGAGAGAAACCGTTTGGTTGGTTCCCTATGAGATAACACACGACCGCTACTAATAACAAAAGCCATACATTTAGTCGGATTAGGAATAGAGCCCACATGGGAAGTGCCAACACGAATGAGCCAGTGAAGTTTTCCATAAATCGAGATTTATGTTTGTAGTGAACGTCACCACATCTGGTCTGTCGCTTCTTCACCATATCATCCGATGCTTTCTTCAAATCATAGGCCCATCCAATTGACGCAAACGAGTCGATGAAAGCTGTCGCAGGATTGAAGGCGTCGATGAAACCCAACTCAGAGGCCGAGTAATCCCTAAATCACAGATATTTATTTATAAATATTTGGTAGTTATAATTATCTGTATGTTTAATACCAGGGAAACGTGTGGTGATAGTTGTGAAAACCTTCGCCCACTAAATAGTGTCTCATATCCGCCTCAACCGGTACTATACTACCGTCGTATGGCTATTGGCAATAGAAAGTCAGAGTCAATTAACAATTAATAATTTATTAGAGGTTATTACAGGTATACCTTCATGCCATACATATGGGCAGCACTATTAACACACCAAGTCAAGTTTAACACCCCTGTGTACCGGAGCATAACACAAACAAACCAGGCATTCCACACGGACTCACCCCATAGATAATAGGGTATATACGTGGGAATCGCTCCCCATATTAATGCCACTAATGGTATATAAAAAGCTCTTTGAAACTTGACCAGTGGGTCGTTAGCCAGGTCTGTCATGTCGAGTGTCTTTCCCTTATCCCTAACGTCGGGATGTTTTTTGCATAAAAGCCAACCGACGTGTGAGAAAAAGAAACCCCGACTGGAGTTGTGTGGGTCAGCGTCGGTGTCCGAGTACTTGTGGTGCAGGCGATGGTCGCGACTCCATTCAAATATGTCGTTCTGGAGGGCCATTGTTTGCAACACCATTAGTATGACCTGAAGGGGGAGTTTGGCTTTGAATGTCCGGTGACACCATAGTCTATGAGCTCCACACTGGTGTCAATAGTGTATAAAAATAAATTAAATGTTTAATATATTAGCGAATAGTATTGAATACCTGAATACCAAACGATGAAAAGAAAGCAATAAAATTGAAGAATATAATTGTCTTAAACTGAACCACAGTTATGGCTAAATAAAAGCCATACAGAGCTGACAAATGCAATATAGCCATCAGTATTATGTTACGCCATACCAGCTCTAGTTTATACGGGGTCTTTACATGATGAACCTGCTCAGTTTCACATATTGCCTCGTTCACTTTGGTTTCAGTCATTTCTAAAAATATATAAATTCAAAGACTTTTTCTAAAACTTTGAAAGGGGAATACAAATATGAATAGCAAATTATTACTTTATTATTTCTAATGATCTTTTCAATAATCTTGGTTTATGTGAACAATTTTCAAACACATTTTATGCCTTTTTATATTAAGCTTAAAGAATTTAGACTGAATATTAAATAGCTTAATTGCATATTTAAAATTTTTGTTTGATAGATATATCAAAGTAAATAATTAATGCATTCATTGTTTGTTAAACAGGATTTTGCTTTATTTACATAAAATAATCCAGTCCAAATGACCATAAAGGTAAACTATTAAATCAAATTAAAAGTAATTTCAAATATCAATGAATATTTATTATGAATCACTCATTAACTATACTTAACATTACTTTATAAAAAAGTAAACTCCTCTGAAAATATAATAAGACTTTCTCATTGAATTTATTTTAAATATTTCATATTAATACGGTAATAGGTTAAGCATACTGTGCTAGGTTTGGATAGTTTTAGCAAAATCTCATATTCAGTCATACAGTCATACAAATTATTTAATAGTCCAGAAACTGTAATTGAATACACATTTGATTAAATGAGTTAATGAGGAATTGAATGCCATCTATAATACATAATAGTATATAAGAGTACATAATGTACACTAGGAAAGCGATTTTGGGGTTTTTACAATAAATTTCGTGCCACTAAACGGTGTCTCACATGCTTTCACGTCATAGTGTGGTCTTTAATAGTTCACACTGTTTGACACTGTTAGCGCACATGTGCTGTAAGTGTTGGCTGGAGTAGAGGTA